TGAGCTAGCGACAGTTTCAATCAGAGAGGCTATAAAAGCTGAAAAAAGAACAGGAGTACTTGTGGCACCTTAGAGACTAACAAATTTATTAGAGCATAAGCTTTCGTGGACTACAGCCCACTTGAAAGCTTATGCTCTAATAAATTTGTTAGTCTCTAAGGTGCCACAAGTACTCCTGTTCTTTTTGCGGATACAGACTAACACGGCTGCTACTCTGAAATATGTAACGTTATTTACTAAAGGATGGTGGAGGGGAGTAAGAAGCTATTTGTTTTATTAAAATGTGATGATGAATTGGCTGGTTTATTGAATCATAATATGAGATTTTTTGGGTGAAGAATTATGCGTAATCTTTGCTCTTCTTGTAAAGTTTAGATATTGCTAGAGATACCATGACAGTAGATAGAAACCTGGATTCAGTAGTAAGCTTTAATATACAAAGTTTCCTGCTTGTTTCTATTGTGATGAAAAATAGCGAATAACTCTAAATTGGATCACAGTGTTTTGATTATTTGTATGGTAACAAATTTCCTTTTTTAACCTTCTCTGGTTTTTCACTGACCTTTCACTGCTTTTGAAAAACAGAAAATACATAAGTATGTTTCTTTTTGGTCTTTTTGTTTTTGTTACAAAGCTAAGAGTATTTTAACATGGGCATGAATTTAGCAGATGTACACTGAAAGATTCCTTGCAGCATGTTAGCTCTTCAAATGAAATTTATGTTACAGCTTTTCTGAACTGTTGCATGTATGTGGCTTCACGAAGACATATTTTAAGCAATATCACTAGGATCCAGGATGTTCAATAATAAGATAAGAAGAAATAACAGCAATGGCAAACACCTGAGCTTTTGGATTATGGAAGCAAGACACTGATTAAAAAGAACTGGGATTTGCCACAAGAGGTTACTCCAGAGTAACAGAAGAAAAAAGAGCTTAATCGTTAAAATATACAAATTAATAATACACTTGGACAGTTAAGCAGTTTCTTAACCATGCTCTGAACAGCTCTACTATACTCCAGCTAAGAGAAGTTCTCAAGTTGAAGACATACTGGAATTTTTTTTCAATGTTTGAGTATTTAAAGAAATATTTTAAAAAAATATTTCTTACCCAGAAGCACATTTATATGACCTTGAGAACAGTACCAAGACAAATGTAATTTATCAATGTGCTCTTGGAATTAAACAGTACAGGATAGTAATGATGAAAATATAATGCCTAGCAAGATAGATTCTTCTGAAACGTAATAGTTTTACTAAACCTGAAAAGGCCAATGGGCTAGCTGCATCATTTTATAGAAGTCTGTGAGCCTCCCACGAAAAACAAAAACGAAAGTACTCATATATACTAATATATACTCAATCATAAGCCGGTTCGTCTATAAGCCAACCCCCCCAAGATGGATAAGATGGATAAGTAAAAATGGAAAATTTTTATAACCCATTCATAAGCCGACCCTATAATTCAGGGGTCAGCAAACTTTGGCTCCCGGGCCATTAGAATAAGCTGCTGGTGGGTCGAGATGGTTTGTTTACCTCGAGCGTCCGCAGGCATGGAGGTAAACCTAAGTAAACAAAGTGTCCTGGCGCACTAGCTGCTTTCCCTGACGGACCAGGACAGCAATTGGTGGGGAAATTTTTTGGGAGGGAGAAGCTGGGAGTCAGGGGAGTAACCCCTGTGACTACCCCCCACATGACCCCACCCCAGCCCGGGACCGCCACACTCTCCCCATCCCATCCCTTCCCACCTTATCTGGAGAGGGCCAGGGGAGGATGTCTCTGTCCTGGCTGGAGCTGCTCCAGCGGGCCAGACCGGGCGGCGTGGCCGCAGCATGTTCCAGAGGGCTGAGCCGGGAGGCACGGCCGCAGTGTGCTCCAGCAGGCTGGGCGGCGCGGCCACAGCCTGCTCTGGGAGGCGGGGCCAAGTGGCACGGCTGCAGCCTGCCAGCCCCAGAGCTTCAGCTGCTTCAGAGGCTGTGGGGAGAGCAGCAGGGCCAGAAGCGGAGAGATTCTGGCCCTGCCGGCTATGCTGCCTCTCCTTGCTCCCTCTGTTGTGGGGAGGGGCTGTGGCCCCACCTCTCCCTCTCTATACCTGTTCATAAGCTGACCCCCTTCTCTGGTGCTTCCCTTTTTTACTAAAAAAATTCAGCTTATGAACGAGTATATACGGTAATAATAAAATAATAATACTTTGCACTTCCATATTATCTTTTAGGCAAGAATCTTAAAAGACTTTACAAACATGAAATTAAGCTCACAATAGCTCTGTGACCAAAGGAAATATTATTTTAAGATTTTACATTTTACAGATAGGGTGACTGAGGCAAAGAAAAATTGGCTTTCCCAATTTTACAAGGAAGTCTTTGTATGCAGAGCCCATATTAGAACTTCTGATTCCTAGTTCTCTGGTTTAGCTACAAAACCATTTTTTTCCTCAAAAGAAGATCATATTCTTCAAAACCATTCACTAAACTTTTTATCAAGAAGGAGTTCAGAGACTTGATGATTAAAGGTATGGTTAGACTTCTATATGAGGACAGGTTGAAAAGATCAGGACTATATAATTTAGAAAGAAGATGAATAAGAGGGGGCTTAACAGAAGTATATAAAATAATGAGCAATACAGAGAAGTAAGGCACTCCACTTTTCTCTCTGTCATAATACAAGAATAATAGGACTTCCAGTAAAAATGAAAGACAAATTTAAAAGTGATTTTTTTCCCAAAACACATAATCAACTTTTAGAATTCACTGGATTCAAAAGAGGATTAGTCAGTTACACAGACAATCAGAACACTCATGGTTTCATTAGATAGGATACTAATTTTAAAAAGAAAGATAAACTCTCATGCTTCATGGCGTAAGCCAAACAGTGATTGGTATGGGATTAGGAGGAAACTTCCCCCACAGGCCAATTATTCCATGACTGTTTGTTTTTTTTAAATAAATATATGGAGATATACCTCTCTCATAGAACTGAGAGATCATCAAGTCCAGCCCCTGCCTTCACTGGCAAGACCAAGTACTGATTTTGCCCCAAATCCCTCAGTGGCCCCTTCAGGGACTGAACTCACAACCCTGAAGTTTAACAGGCCAATGCTCAAACCACTGAGCTATCCCTCCCCTCATGAAGATATGTTATGAAGTTCCTTGCATCTTCCTCCTAATCATCTGGTAATGGCCACTGTTGGAGACAGCACACCAGACTAGAT